AAAAACAAAAACAAAAACAAAAACAAAAAAAGGTTCTTATGGTCTCCTGATAGCACCATGGACAACGTGAACAGAAACCATCAACAATTACTGCCTATAGGTGGGGTTTGTCGTTGGGATCCCCAGCTCTCCAATAAAACAAAGAGACTTATTATTAATTATAAATGCTCAGCTGGTAGCTTAGGCTTGTTGTTAACTAGCTCTTACAACTTAAATTAACCCATGTTTATTAATTTACATTGGTTCATGGCTTGTTAACTCATCCTGCTCCCTCTGATTCTGGCTGGCAACTCCACCCTTCTTCATGCCAGCACTCTCCTGCCCAACCTCTTCCTGCCTAGCTATTGGCCAGTTGGCTCTTTATTAAATCAATAAGAGCAACATGTCTTCACTATGTACAAAAGGATTATTCCACAATTGTCTACATACTTGCCTTGTGCTGTGATGGTCTTACCAACCTGATGTGACCTAGAGTAACCTGGGGAGAGAGCCTCAATTGTCTAGATCAGGTTGGCCTGTGGCCATGACAGGGAGGTGATGTTTTGATTACCTTAATTGATGTGGGAAGAAAAGTGGATGGCACCATTCCCTGCATTTGCATCCTAAACTGTATACAAGAGGAAAAAATGAGCGAAACATAAACATGCACTCATCTCTCTCTGCTCTCAGCTGTGGGTGTGATGTGACCAGCTGTTTTAAATTCCTGGAACCTTGACTTCCCAGCTGTGATGGACTGTAACCTGCCATTGTGAGCTAAGTGAGCTAAGCTTCCTCCCCTAAGTTATATTCTATCAGAGCAACAGAAATGCAACTAGAACACAGGTCCTGTCCAGGAGATGGAGTGCCGTAGTTTGAATGTAAAATGTCCACCTTGAACCAGAAAAAATAAATAATAAGATATAGAGTTTTCAGATTTAAGAATTCAGCAGAGCCCAAGCATCTATTTTTAAATTATATTTATGTATTCGTGCATGTGTGCATGGAGGTCAGGGGACCACTTGGAGGAGGTGTTAGTCTCTTCCACTATGTGGTCTCCAGGGATCAAACTCAGGTTGTCAGATTTGGTGGCAAGTACCTTTATTGAATGAGCCATCTCACTGATCCTTTTTGTTTTTTTAATTAAAAGCCTTTTTTTTTTTTGAGACAGAGTCACATTTTGTTTTCTAGATTGACCTGAGCTCTCTATGATCTTGTTAAAGAGGCCCACGCTGTTTCTATTCCTGCCTCATGTGAGGAGCCATGGGAGCACATGCCTGGAGCACTGGATGAATTTGCAGAAGGAGGCAGATGTGAGAGTCCAACTCATCTGACTGCTTCCTGTGCCAGGCCTAAAGCTGCTAAAAGTAAATGTTGCCTCTAAGGACAGCCGTCTTCTCCCTGCAAACGAGTCCTACGTCTTAGATACCAGGAACCTTCTTGTCAGGATTGAGCAGTAACATCATGGCCACCTGTCAATGAGGCAGGAACACAGAACCTCCTGTGAGAATGGAAGAGAGTCTGTTAGCGAGGTCTGTGGTGTTCAGAACATTTGGGCCTTGCCCCACCCACACAAACAAGCCAACTGCCCGACAAGAGGACTTCCACAGCCTCTCTTGGATGAATTTCTTCCATCTGTCCTTCAGTGCCCTGTCTTGAGTGAGTATGAGTTTGTGTCCTCCCACAATCCTGCCCTCTCCTTATCCTTCATGGCCCAGCTGAAGCCATCATACCTGCACTACCATTGTAACTGATAGCCTGTGGTTTTCTGTCAATTCTGCATCTTGGGGTTTTATACACAGAAAAAACTGATAGCCTGTGGTTTTCTGTCAATTCTGCATCTTGGGGTTTTATACACAGAAAAGACAAGTGAATATACAGCCTGGTGTCCACAGTGGTGTGTAGCCTCTCTTCTACTCCAGCCCTGAAGCTCTGTGAAGGGAAGGACTATGTCTACTTTGATCAATATTAAAAGCCCAGAGTTTGACATGTACAGGAGCCTAGAAACCTATTTATCAAGTACATAAATGTTACTAAAGAAAGTGTATGGTGTGTGTGTGTGTGTGTGTGTGTGTGTGTGTGTGTGTGAGTGTGTGTGTGTGTGATATGTATGTGTGTACTATGTGTGTGGTGTATGGTGTGTGTGTGGTATATCTGTGGTATATGTGTATGGTGTGTAGGGGGGAATGTGTGTATATGTGTGTTTGTGTGTGGTGTATGTATATGTGGTGTGAGTGTGGTATGTGTGCGTGTGGTATGTGTCTGTGTGTGCGGTATATGTGTATGCATGGTGTATGTGTATGTGTCTGTGGTGTATGTGTGTGTAGTGTATGCACGTGTGTGTAGTGTATGCACAAGTGTGCACCTGAAGACTCAGAGGAGGAAGTTGGATGTCTGCTCTATCATTCTTCACTGGATTGCTGTGGAATGGGGATTCTCATTGAACCTGAGCTAGGCTGGCAGCCAGCAAGCCTCAATGACTCAGCTGTCTCCACCAGACAGAGCACTGAGGCTAGAGGCTCCCACACAGCTATGTCCAGCTTATTTTTTTAATGTGGGTACTGGGATTTGAACTCAGGGTTTTGTGTTTGTGCAGCACTCACTCTTATCCACTGAGCCATCTCTCCAGCTCCAAAGATATTCACTTTAAAGCTCAATGTTTGACATGATATTTTGGAGAAGAAAAAAAATGATCATTTGCCTAATACATGGTTCTGTTTTGCCATGCAATTTATAATCTGCAAATGACAGATCAGAACAAAACAAAAAAGCAATATTTAAAGCTCTCCATCAGCAGGCAAAAATTAGACTCACCATATATCAATTCAGCCTAAGACCCCAATAGGCCTGAAAAAGCTATTTAGAAACAATTGTCAAAATTCTGTTTGTGGTGTAATTAAATAACCAACTCTCTGCAGGAGTTTGATGGCCAGTATGAGATACCTGGAGAATTTCTATGGCTTAATGACCCAAGTGTCCAACTTAATGGCCCACCCGCTTCTCAGACCTCCAGCTGAATATGAGTGCCATTTGCTCAGCAACAATGCTTTATCTAAGTGGATTGGTCAGCTTTGAAATATGTTTGCAGGAGCTGAGGGTTATAACTCAAGGGGGACAGTGTATGCTTAGCATGGCAAAGCCCTGAGCTTCAATCCTCATGCTCCCCACAAAAGAAATGTTTGCCAACTTTCTAGGAAGATGCATCATACAGCCCTATTCCCAGTGACCAAAGAACTTTCTAGTACAATGATGAGGTATCTGAGAGTGGGAAGAGGTCGGTGGGATGTCTGGTAAATAGTGGATGCTCAATAGATCATGTCTTCCCACACCTTAGGATTGTTTTCTGCTGAGGATTAACAGTGCCACCCGAATCAGGCGAATGGCCAGGAAGATGTTCCTGAAAGAAGTTAAAAATAAGAAAACAAAGGAAA